CCTTGAGCTCGTCGAGCATGGACTTGCAGAGCTTCTGGGCGGCGTCCTGGGCGTCCTTGAGCTTCTTGATCTCGAGCTGCTCCGTGTCGCGGCTGAACTCGTGGCCGGGCTTGCCGTGCGCGGGCACGATGGCGGTGCGCTCCCAGACGGCGGGGGCGTTCTTGTCGGGCAGCGGGGGCAGGGCCTTGGCCTTGCCCTTGCCCGCGCCGCCGCCGCCGCCCCGCCTTGCCGGCACCAGCAGCACCAGCACTAGCACCAGCGGCGGCGGCACCGCCGGGGTGGCCCTTGGGGTGGGCGCCCGAGGTCAGGATTTCGTAAAAGGTCTCGTAGGGCTCGCTGAAGAGCTGGTCCTCGTAGATCCAGGCGCGGACCTCGCCGTTGCCGGTGCGCATCTCCTCCTTCTCCTCCTCGGTGCGGCCGTACGGGTGCAGGCGCAGGTGGTGGTAGAGAGTCTGGGGCTTCTCGCCCGACTCGGTGGCGTAGTAGAGCTTGAGGGTGATTTCGAACTCGCCCCAGCCCGTCTCGTTGACGACGAAGGGTTTGCCGGGTTCGGCGTCGATCACTGCGAGGCGCAAGGCGTCAGCATGCGACGGGGTTTGGTCTGGGGCAAGGATGGAGAGAAGGAGCGGGGGACGCACTTCGGACATGATTCGGGATGGACTCGTGCAGCTTGAATTGGATTCGACGGAGCCAGTAGGTGACGTCCGTGTCGTCGAGGCCCTTGACGAAGACCTGCCACGAGTGTGTGTGGTCGTCAGGCACGCCGGGCGGTTTTGGGTTCTCGGGACCAAAGGGAATGGCGGTGGTGCCGTAGATGAAGGGCCGGCAGACCTGGGTGCCCTTGACACGTTTTCCGAGGTTGCTCGGAGGCGCCATGACGGCCGAACGATATGACGATTATGGGGCAGGTGTTCGAGCTGGTGTTGCGATGGTGATGACGATGACCTCGAAAACTGATGGAGGGGGCAAATCGATGGGCAGGGAACGTGTTGGAGAAACATGTTCGCTTTGACGCCAGCCTTGCCGCGATGGCGGGACACTGTAGCAGGGTCAGAAGAGGAGAACCAATGAAGAGGCGAGGCCGGTGGGCAGCACCCCTGTAGCCTCGATGGAGGCCAATGGCACAGCTGTAGTGGGGCCCTCGGCATTGTCAGCCTCGACCCTCGATGAAATCATGACTTGAGCTGCATGCTGTGCGTCAGTGCCTGCCTCAGTCTACATCGTCAAAGTATCGAACCACCATTGAGCGACCTTGTTCCGGCCTCCTTGACCACTGATTCTGCTCTTTTTCATCTTGGTTCTATTCTATCATCCTCCATCGCAAGTCATAATTTCATTTCTCCCACGCCTCACACGCCACACTTACCACACAATCAGTATACGTACCTCCTCAACACACACCACACGTCGTGCACACACCATGTCGGCAACAACAGCAAAGCGATTGGTGGTCTGTGGTGGCAACGGTTTCCTAGGCTCACGGATCTGCAAATACGCCGTACAGAGAGGCTGGGACGTCACAAGTGTCAGGTAGGCACACCTCGAGAAAACCCACCCTTGAACCCTCCCCCCAGCTCACAACTGGTCAGCCGCTCCGGTGAACCCCGCTGGGACACCGTCACCTCGTCCGCCTCGCCGCCGTCCTGGTCCCACAAGGTGACCTGGGAGCGCGCCGACATCCTGCAGCCGTCGACCTATGCGCCGCTCCTCAAGGGCGCCGACTATGTCGTCCACAGCATGGGCATCCTCCTCGAGGCCGACTACAAGGGCGCCATCTCCGGTCGCGAGTCCCCCCTCGTCGGCCTCCAAAAGGCCTTTGCCCCCGTCAAGGACCGCGGCATCGTGAACCCGCTGAAGCAGGAGCCCGGCAAGGAGAACATTCGTCCGACCAACCCGGCCGACCAGTTCTCCTACGAGGTCATGAACCGCGACAGTGCCGTCATGCTCGCCAAGCAGGCCGCCGCCGAGAACGCGAGCGCCTTCGTCTACATCTCGGCCGCCGGCGGCGCCCCCGTGCTGCCGGCCCGTTACATCACCACCAAGCGCGAGGCCGAGAGCGTCATCGCCTCCGAGTTCCCCCGCATGCGCGGCGTCTTTGTGCGCCCGCCCTTCCTCTACGACAGCTCGCGCAAGTTCACCCTGCCCATGGCCGCCATGACCGGCGCCGGCGCCCTCTTCAACACGGTCACGGGCGGTGTCTTTGGCGGCTTCCTCGGGGCCGGCGGTGCCAAGCCGCTGCCCGTCGAGACGGTGGCCGAGGCCGTCGTCGAGGCTCTCGATGACGACAAGGTCAGGGGACCCATTGAAATTCCGCAAATCGAGGAGCTGGCCAACAAGTCATGGAGGAAAAAACATGCTTGTGAGACCTAGAGGCAGGCAGGGCAGCAAGACAGGAGAACAAGCAAGCACGTGCGCCGAAAAGCATGTCTGTAGTAATTTTCGCTGTACCATAGTAGAACCACAAAAGACCCCCATTCCGGCGCCTTTCTTACCACCCCTGGCCTCACCTTGTCCCGCGGCACGAATGGGCCCGCCTTCGCTTTGTGGTGATTTTGCCGCCCCTAAAATCATGGTCCCCCCGCTCCGAAGCTGTCCCCGAAATCTTCGGCCGGTGGTACTTGGTTGTAGAACCGCCGACAGCTTCCGAGTTGGAACTGCTTGTTCTTCCTCGTTGATGGAACGTGAAGGTCGCCGGTCGTCGCCGCTCTGGTGCCATCC